AATCTTGGGAACCTCTGGGAATTTGCTTTTCATGTAGCAAACAACCTAGTAAGAAACACTAGCTTGGGGGGCAGTCTTGGCTGGGAAAACGAAGTTAAATGAAACTCTGTCTGCAGCTAAAACCATGCTGTTCCTTGCAGAGTCCACCTGGGTGATGCCACTGTTGAAAGATAAACCCGAACGCGTGGAGACTGTCACTTCCAGAGGAATGCATGTGAATACTTTTCTGGCACTTATCAGCTATTATGAATGATTGTTTTTTCAAAATCTTCTACCACCATGCACAGCCCACTTCTACCACGGTGAGGGAGGTGACAGAATTGTAAACCATCTCTGTATACAATCTACTCTCTTCTTGCTCTCTCCCTTAGGCAGAGTTATCCAAAAGGCTGGAGCGAACTCCCTGCCAGCAGGAGGCAGCCAACTCTGGCTTCCTGAGGCTTTGAAAAAAAAAACCAGTCTGGCTCACCGAGCAGGCTGTGATAAATGGGGTGGGGAGGGGGGTGGGAAGGATGCTGGGGTAAGCAGGAAACCAGGCTTTGAGATCTCAGGTCATTTGTAACCAGCTGATTTTATAGACAGAGGGGCTATCATGCCTGTAGATTGGGGACGATAGGGTAGATGGTCTTGTCATGGCTTTGAGAATCAAATAAAAGCTGCAGGCTCTTATATTGCCATATATGATAGGAAAGAGGAAAAGGAAATTTGTTTAAATCAATATGACCTGGCCTTGATGTGGGGTTGTCCAGTCCAACAGGGTGACGATACCCTTAGGAGGGTAGAAGAGAAGGTCTTTACCTCAAGGTGGCACAGTCACTCTAGTATGTCAGGCATGGCCCTTGCTCTTCTTGCTTCTTAAATTGAAAATATGAAAAGGATTGTGTATGTGTCTGTACCATTATGAAACAAACCCACCCTTCCCAAAGGTCCGTGCATCGCCATTCTCTTCCGTCTTGTAGCTGACCTTAGGCTAACTCCAATTACCCATTTTCTTTGTAGCCTGTGCTGGTCTTTCATTCTGTCCCCAAAGATGTGGGCTTGCAGGTAGGTGCCACCACCCCGAGCTCAATTGCTCCTTTAACTCTACCGTCTTTGAGAGAAGAAGATGGTAACAGTCCTGGTCACTCCCTTATTGGATTGCTTGGATGATGGTGATGATGATGATGGTGATGGTGATGATTCCAGAGGACTGAAAGCTCTATGGAAGTAGAAACTTTGCTTCAAAACCAGGGCCTGCAGTCACCGTGCACATGGTGAACATCCAGCGTGCCTGTAGGCACAAGACCAGAATGCATTGTGTAGTCACAGTAACCATATATTCACCTTCAAATATAACACTCCAGACAGTGTTACAATAAAGGGGATTGCATTGGTCAAAGAAGTCAGGGCATGGGTCCCTGAAGAAACAATGAATCAGGTGAGTCCCAAAGACAGGAGGGAGGAGGGAGCAGCCTGTGCAAAGCCTGGAGTGCTCGAACAGCGGGGGATGCTTATACAGTTTTAAGCAGTAATTTTTCTCTGGTGCATGTTTCAAAAAGACCATCTCAGAGAAGTCCTGACTTTAAAATGGACTGCATTATTGATTTACTGTAGGCTATATGGAGGAGAATGCAAGAGACTGTTCTTAGAAGCCCAGACCTGTGGGCAAGTCTCAATTAAACATTGCTGTGTCACTTAAAAGTTGGCTGCAAGTTGAATTTTTTTAATTGAATTCTTCTGCAAGTGCATGATGGGATCTCTCTCTATAATGTGATTACACTGTGAAAATTTTATGCAGACTCATTTTATTCAAACAGCTGCTCTCCTAATTCCCTAATTTCTAATAAATTTTTTAACTACAAAACAATGACCTCAAAAATTTTTAGGGACCTTGGATCTTGGATCCAATTCCTTGCATATTGATGGGGACACTGAGGTACGGAGGCACCATATAGATGCCTATTGACAGAGCCACTACCCTGCATGGGGCAAAACAAATGGCAAATACTTGGTTCAAACAATCAATGTAATCAAACAGGGTATTTGCTCCTTAGGATTCGCTCTCAAATAAAACCAGTTATCAAGACTGATAAGCCCTTGGCTTGGGGCTTCTGGATGCCACGCAGTCTTTCTGTTATGGTGTGGTGAAGGCAGGAAGAGGATGAAGGAGTGCGAGAAACTGTATCCCTGCCATTCCCTTGTAGCTGCTCAGCTCACTCAGTTTGTCAGTTCAAGCAGAAAAAGGACCACGGGTGGTGGTGGGGGGGGGCGCACTAAGGACAATTTACAATGGGCATTTTGAAAAGACAGTAACTTTTTCTTTTTGTATGGCATTTAAAGCTCAGACTTGAATTCCTTATTCAATTAAAACGCCCACCAAGATCAGGCACAGTTTAAACCATGCCACAAAGGGTGCTGACAGTCTTTCTGGAATAAGCTCCAGAAATGAATCTGAGGAAGGGCTTAGGAAATCTTGTGAGACTTGGGGTTAGATTAGAGACTATCTTGCTGGTGATGCCTCTCCTCCTACTCTCCCGAGAAGCCCCCAGAGAGAGCAAAGAGGTTGGATGTACAAGCAGAAACTCAGTGCTAGGTAAGACTGGCAACCTACCTGTGGACTGTGGTGGCCTTTGGGAGAGGGGCCCAGGAAAGATGAAAACAGAGCTGGCAGGAGGCCCGGGGCACCGGAAGGCCCAGCTCAGAACTGCAGGCTCAGAGCCCAGTCAGAACTGCAGAGGAGCAACGGAGAAGAATCTAAGACTGTCCCTGCAATTTGACAGAGGTGTGACCATGAACATACTTAACTTCTTAAATCACAGTTTTCTCCTTGTTGATGGGGACAATCATAGCACACGGCACATAGAGTTTCTGAGAGAACTGAAGAAGATCACATGTCTAAAAGTTTGGTGCTGCTCTGATATATAAGAAAGATTCATCATCATCATCATAGAAGCAAAATGTTAGCTTCTGATCACGTGACTCCCGGCACTTGAGAAGCAAAGTTTTCACATAAATATGAGGTCAGTTGATGTGTATAGACACCCTAGGAAGCTGACACTTTTCTTAGATGGCAGGTTCTGGTGGTTTTAAGAGTCTAACCATATGAAGGATCAAAAAGAGACCCACCAGTCTGGTGAGAGCAACCACACCTAGAGCTGACCTAGACATGGCCCAGAGCTTGAGAAAGAGGAGGCTACAAAGAGAGGGTGAGGATTCTTCTTAACCCATGCTCTTGAACGTGTGTGAGCTGAAGAGGACGAGAGGACCCTGTTCTGAGATCCCTGTACCAAGGGGTCTCCTCTAGTTAGAGACACCGCAGTGATACGTGTGAGTGCTCAAAACAATTGCACTGAGCAGAGGTGCCAGGCTTCTGTAGAGACGCGAGGCAAACAGCATCCTCATCCCGGCCAAGGCTAAGGTGCCTCCAGTCACTGGATTCTTTCCTCCAGGAGCAGCTAGGTCAGCCTTGGTGGTCCAAGCCCCGCAGCCATTGGAGGAACTGGCAAATCACCCCAGCTGAGAGCCAGAGTCAAAGAGGACACCACAAAAGGTTTGGGAGCACAAGTGTAGCGTTCCCGGGTCATCCTCGGAATGACTGAAGTGGGTCCCAGGAGTGTGCTGGCGATCTAGAAGAGCTGAAGAAAGCAGAGCAGTGAGGAACAGCCTGTGCTGTGGGTATGAGCCCAATTTTCCCCTCAGGCTGGCGTGGCCTAGGAAACCCCACATTAACTGTGGTAAACAAATCATTAGGAACCTTAAAGAATCAGGCCTGGCCCCACCTCCTTCTGCAAACACCGGGACAAGCAAAGCAGTGCCATTTTGAGCCGTTTTCTTAGTAGATCTGGGGTGGGGGGGGTGGGGCGGGTTTGAAGCCGAGAGTCAGTCAAATGCAGTAGTTAGCTGGGAAATCAACCTGGTGGGTACAAGCAGATTTTGAAAGTCCACGATTCTGAATACAAACTACAGCCGCCTTTGACTCCACTCAATATGCATATGTGTGTGAGCCCGTCCTGCTGAGATGAATTTTGTTTCTTATAAGTGATTTACAACTGGAGAAAAGAAAGAATGGGGTGCGATGGGAAAGGGGAAGAAAGAGGAAAGGAGATGAACCCTCAAACACTGTATCAGAATATGCTAAGGATCTTTGACCACTCCAGGAGTCTGGGAAGCAGCAGGGGGATGATCCAATAAGCTTCACTGGCTGATAGAAGGCAGGAATTAGACCTGATAAAATATTGTTTATAATATTTACTAGCTCTGTGACCTTGAACATATTGCTTAGCTTCTCTGTGCCTCACTTTCCATATCGATAAGGTCAAAATAATGCCTTATTAACATTAAGATCAATTAATGTTAATTGATTGCATGGAACCTGGTTGTGATAAAGGCATGGTTCTTTGAGGATTACATAGAAAGCAGGTGTGGTAAGGCTGGCCAGTGAAGGGCCAGATCTTTATGGGGATTTAGGAGTAGTACCATTTAGGACTCTTTGGCAGCAAGTGACAGACTCAGTTGTCAGCTCT